TACTGTATTCTATAAACACTGCAAACTCCTGTGCATAAGCTACCCGTATCTGATACTGCTCCCTGTTTATGTCTCTGATGATAAATCCGCGATGGATCTCGAAACGTCAGGCAAAAAAGTATTGTCACAGCGATTGAGTCGTCTGCTCAAAGTAAACGTTATTACTATTCAAATTAAGTTCTCTTATAGAAGATGAGAAGACATTAATTCTGCGAACATGTGTGGTATACATTAGATGTCTAGGGGCCCATTCCGGAACTATCCAGCCGGGGTTTATGATGCAAATGGCTTACGTTGGTCAATAAATTCAAAGAAGGCGATCGTATCAATTTGTCCTGTGTTTTTTCGTTCCAACTCCCGTACAATTTGCGTATTCCCTCAATGATTGACAGAGATAGAGCACATGCTACAACCCTTGGGTCCACATGCAAGACAACCGAAGCAATACGACTGAAAAGAATTTATCAAATCTTTAGCTTTTTGGCAAATTTCGAGCGTTTTTTATCTTTCGGGAACTCAAGATTAAAAACAATGACAGATGAAGGAGTGAAATTAGTGGATTGGTATTTCGTAAAAGAATATATCCAAGAGCATCTGACTAAGATAACAATAGCTTCTGTGTTTCGTTTATTCTGAGATCGGTCGTTTTTTTTTCAATTTGCAGTTTGGGCAATTTCTTGGTCAATGAAACCTATACTGCCCTTGGCAAACAACTGCAAGTAAGAACTTTTAGACAGCACCTTACCCACATGGGAATTGTTTTTGTTGATTAGGTAAGGAATATGGTCACCGCTCTGTCGTTGCGCCTCGGGACTCAATCGAGAGTCCTCGCTAGCAGTCATGCGTTTACCAGTAGACATGCAGATATCGTACCGGCAAAGCTAAGGGAGATTGGCATGGCTAGCACCGGCTTAGTAATTGACAGCAATCAGTCCTACCACGCATTTATCTATTAATAAATTCAGTTCGCTGAACATATAAACCATTAATGTCCGAAGAAACAGGGTTTGAATTCGAATTCATCGAAACTCGAGATTAAGTTTGGGCTACTGATGACGTTTAATAAGCCATTAATTGCCAATCCGGTCATCCCGGTCTCTGTTGGTACTTCCGTTTCATAGTTCCTCGTCACTATGTAACAAGCCCCTAAGAATATGAGGGTATCACTAGTAAGTTCACTGAAAACTTTTTGCCAGGTTCCGGAAATTAATCCAGTCAATCCAGTTAATCCAGAAATTTCCGTCCGGGAAATTTGAAATTGGTTTCGAATTTAAGCTCTTTGCGCTCACGAGGTT